CAACTGTCTTAAAAACATTAAATCATAAATTCCATTCTTAAAAATAAACAGAGATAGAATCAGTACTTTCGTTTCAAATCTATTTTAATTCCCAGTCTTGTCACTTTTCTAAGCATGTCCTCTAAGTTCTGTGACAATCTTTGTTAGTTGCAGAGGGTGGACATATTACAGGTTGTGAATCAAATTGCCAGTTAAGTTTTTCATATTGCATGGTGCATGGGCAAGAATGCTTGCCTTACCAAAGTACTGAAGAAAACTTTGTACCAAGCGTATAAAACACCCAGACAATCTGAGCATTTTAAGATCCAACTTTACACCAGACTGGAATTGTATTGCACACATTGTCAAATAATGCGAGATAGCATCCCTGGGGGTATCATACTGCTGTGTTTTAGTGCAGACTAAGATTTAACTCCAAAATTATGCTACAATTTTCACAGCAATATGCAGCCAAACTATTTTTCATTGACTTGATACTTAGTGTATAGATCGAATTGCTAGCAGATGGAGATGGGTGTTGAAAGAGGAGGAAAGCTAGGGAAAAGCACTACCAGTGTCTGCTACAGCATTACTGCCATTTCCTGCCTCTTGCACTGTCAAAACCGTAATTGTTTGCAGTAACACTCTGGTACTAAATTGGCACTGACTTACTAAAGCCAATTAAAATGTTGTTAATGACTCACCGCACTGCTGTTATTTTGCTTGAGGAAATAAATACTTCTGTGGTGCACTGTGTTCACCTAACTGAACTGAGGTTTGCTTTTGCAAGTTGCTTTTAGCATAGAAATGCTTAAAGTGCCAAGTGCCTGATTCAGGGATGCACTGCTTGCTATTAGTGATCTTACTTGGCCCAGCTTTAAGGAAAATAAATAGCAACATTTATTCAATATTATTGAAGTCTCAACAAAGCAAGTATGATGAATGAATGTATGAATTGTAAATTTTGCCTTTTAACAGCTTCTAAAATCTATCTTTATAAACCCTATTGAAGATTAATGCTTCTGCAACATAAATGTGAACGCCATATACTGTGTATTATCATACTAAATCATGCTGAACGTGTCTGTAGTGATTGTAATGAGGTCAGCCAGGTGGATCTCATAGAATGTGAGTTCCCTGATTGGGACTGTCAATCTAGTCTGATCAGGGAGACCTGGCTGACAGGTATAAACAGGGGTGTCAGACATCCTGTTCACTCTGAGAACTGGCTCTGAGGGAGCTAGATCAGTGTTAAGGACTCTCCACATGTAAATAAAGGGTGACTTGGTGAGAGGATACCAGCCTCTGTGGAGTTATTTTCATGTGCACTTTATATTCATTCTCAACTTGTGGAAGCTCCTTCATTTATCATTGTAAAATCTCAAAATTTAGGATAAAATTTACCAAAAGCTTAGAAATACTTCACAACTTACAGTTAAGGTTAAAATGACTAATATTGCTTTAAATCAATTGTTTTCAATTTGAAGAGAATAGGCATAGTTAACAGATTAAGTTATACATTTCTGTAGTTACCAGTGAAAGAGGAGTTAAAAGCGATTATGCTCTACATAATTGTTACACTTAATTTTTACACCATACCACGGCAAACATTTTATTTATACTGTTAATGCATATTGTATTTCCCAGAACAGCTTGTCAATTCAATGTGCCCATGCTCACAGAAGTTTGTAAATATTAATGGCAATTTATATCTCACTACTACACTATTTTTAGATTAAGAAGGATGGAAAATTGGGAAATGAAATCCAGCTGACATGCTGCAGAAGGTCCAACTTTTGATCAGAGCTCCATTGGACACAGATGGGTCAAACCAGCTTGTCAGGACCACAGTTCTCTTTTGACTGCACCTACATGGCCACTATTATTTCTTCTACCCATCTACATTCCTTATGTAACACAGAGCAGGAAGCTGCAATATTTTGAATGTTCCTGTGCTACAGTTACAGAAATCTGGGAACACAAACAAATGCAATCCCTTGCATTTTGAGCATTGGGATTTTCCATTACTTCAATTGCTTGCTACTGTGGATGCTGCAGAAATATGCCTACTGCACAAAACCACTACTCCATTTCACTCCTTACCCCTTCAAGGTGCTTCTGCATGTTCATGTTAATAGGTTGGCACTCTTAATTTGCTATTCTCTCATTCAGTAAACAGTCAATGAGAAATGCTATTAGTGCTAGCACCTCCCCCATTGAGTGTCAAAGAGGACCAAGGTGCAAATTGATAGGATTTCCGCAATATCATTGGCCAGGTGGACCACTCACCACTATTGCTGCATAGTGAAAATGACAATCAACCCAACTATGACTTGCTATTTTTGCAAGTTGTCTTGCGGGTGAAATAAATATTTTGTGCAGAATGAATATGATATTCTTCAGGTTCTATGTGGATCATACCGAGCAATATTTGCCATGTCTGCAGGTTGAATTCACGACCAGTCATCTCTCTCTAATGAGAGAGCAGTCTATATTCCTCTGGGACTGTGGCATCTTTGCCTTTTTTCCAGAATTTGTATTCTCTAAGGTTTTTGTGATCTTCTATTGAGCCACAAAGTTCATATATCTTCTATACAAGACATTCAAATGTTAACATATATTTTCCATTCATTTCAACGAGCAATAGCACAAGTTTCCTATCTTAATATTGGTGTGTATATATGATTTAGAATACTTTTGTCCTTTCATTTTCTCCAGCTTAGAGTCTCTTAGATATGGAATTGATACTTTCATTATTGCTTTTGGATTGTTTAATTTGTTCACAATGAATGGGGACCATAGGCATGGCCAACATTTCTTATCCAACTCTAATATCCTTTGAGAAGTGAGCTTCCTCTTGAATTGCTGTAGTCCAAATCATAAAGTTGCGCACCCATGGGACTATTAGGGAAATAGATAAATAAATGATGGCAATATATTTCCAAGTTAGGATGGTTTGTGACCTGGAGGTGACTTGGAGGTGATGATGTCACCAGGAGCATGCTGCCCTTATCATTATGAGTGCTAAAGCTAGCAGGTTTGGAAAGGGGCTATTCAAAGAAACCTTAGTGAGTTGCTGCAATGACTTCTGCCCACGCTGCAACCTCAATGGTTCTACGGAGGAGAGAGAAACTTTTGAATGTGGTGAATGAGCTGTCAATCAAGTAGTCTGCTCGAGTTTTGGATGTTTTTGGAGCTGCACCCACCCTGACCAGAGTAGCATTCCATCACACTCCTGCCTGGTGCTTTATGGTGGGAAGGTATTGGAGGGACAGGAAATGTATTACTTAACACAGAACTCTCAGGCTATGATCTCCTCTTGTAGTTTCAGTATTTATATTACTGGTTCAGTTCCGGTAAAAGGTAACCATTGGTCATGAGGAATTTAATAACGGTAAAAGGCGTTGTACTTCAATGTGAAGTAGTCAGACGTACTGTTGTTGAGAGTGGTTACTGCCTTGCCGCCATTGTCACTTGCCTGCTATTATCTCAAGCCTAAACGTTAAGTCCGGATCTTGGTGCATGCGGTCTCAGACTGCTTCATTATCCGAGGAGAGTGTGGTGAGTATGACTGAGCACTGGATTAGCCAGGTTTCCGGCTTTAACAACAACGCCAACACATGTTGAAGTAATATTCCCAGCGGAAAACACACCTGCTTGTCCTTGAAACAATGTTGCCGTTAAAAACAAAATAAAAATGGGCCACGAGCAATCTTCGAATCCCATCGTTTAAAAACGGCGGCCAGTCTTCGCTCTGATGATAATTTCAGTTCTTGAAAAATCAAACATCTCACTCTTCTTTGAAACACTATTGTCGGTCCTTCGGAAAGGTAACCATCCAGAACAGGACTGCGCCAGGGGCCCGGGATCAAGTCCTACCTGTCCCCGGAGATGTCTAGAATTGTATATGGTCACCAAGGGCTTCATGAAGATGATCTGGGTGGCACTGTACAACACTGGAAATGATCTGTTGTGTTTCCCTTGGCTCTGTTCGTACACAAAGATTCCATTTTTACGTTATCAATCTTCTGATGAAATCTGGGAATGTATAAATGAGTTTCTCTCTTTTTTAAAAAATCCACCGTGCAATCAGTTCGGTCTGCAACACAATTTATATATCGTGACTTTCATTTGTTTTAATTTAGTCTCCTAGGAATCTGATCAGTTCTTATTTCTATGGGAATTCGCGCTGGCGTGCTGGTGTTAGTTAAATGATGACATGATGAATGTTACTCTCAAATAGATTTTCTTGCTGCGCCTGTTTAATCCTTAAAGTTATGAATATTTTAAACTTTAAAAAGGGCAAAACTGGAGAGATGTGCAATGAGACGTCACAACCGCCGCACTCGATTGAGATTTTAACCTCTTTAGAGAGGTCTTGGGGGTGGGGGGGGGGGGGGGCAGAGATTTCTGCCTGCTTTCTGACGAGAGATGTCTTTGTGGTTTTATGGACTGATCATTCATTTATTTTAAAAAAAACCAAACCGGCTGCAAGCAGCACACAGGAAAACAAGACATGGCCATAGCCTATTCAGAACCCCCTTTCTTGTCAGTAAAACAGGCTGTTGTGGTTAAATATCAGGCAGGACTGTTGTCAGAAAGTAGGTGATCATATATTAACGTCATCGAAAACTTAAGACTGCCGCTGCGGCCCATCTCGACAATTTTTTTTTAAATTTTACATTAAAGCAAGGTGCAGCCGTATTTGAATAAGAATAATGCAAAATCCTTTTAATCTAAACAATCCGTTGCTAAATTAAAATACGACCAAGAATGTGCGTGCCTGTTTGTAATGTGTCCATCATTTGATTGTGATTTTAGAGAGTAGACGAGCTTTTTTTTCTTTTGTCTACCTCTCCGCACCATACATGGTATAGACAGCACATTGCTGGGTGGGAGCTGTTTTACTGACTGACCGGCACTGACTCCAGTCGTGCTTCAGTCTCTCCCCATGCTTGCACACTGATGATGTCGATGTGTTGAGAAAGCCTCTGTCTCTCTCTCTCTCTCTCTCACCCTGAGGTTGCATGTTATTGTTGGGGCGCCTCACGCTCGCCAGGTCCTGTGAGCGGCAGTCCGCCCGCAGCTACTATAAAGCTGTCACCCAACAAAAAGCGGAGACTGTTCAGCACAAACCCAGCTCCAACAAGCAAGCAAGCCAACATACCTCCGACCCCAGAGCAGGCGCAAATTGCGTACAGCTCCCCCAGGTGTATTTATTCTCTGAAGGTAAGAATTGGTGCGGGTGGGTTTTTTTTATATTAACACTGCTTGTCCCCATTGCGTTAGCTCTGTCTCCACCAGCAATGGGTTGTGGAGCAGGACGATTACCGGGCGCCAGGAGGGCCTTTTAAAGGTAAACATTTTGCTCTCTTCTCATCACATCGGGTTCAAAACAAACCATTGATTGATCGGAATCGACGGCAGCCTCCTGGCTGTTAGAATGGCGACAAACCACTGCCCGGCATCAGTTCAAACTGAGCATCGACACGAGCGATCAGGGAGTGTGTAGTTTGCGGGGGGTGGGGTTGGGATGGAAAAAGCGTTTTATTTCGGGCAGATGTGTGTACCGCTGAGGTTTGACCTTTTGTTGGAATGTATGGCAGCGGGTTTACCCCGGCGGGAGGGATGGAGGAAGCTCCCTGAAGCTGGTGAAGGTGTGTGAGGGGCTCCAGGGTCTGACCACAATGAGCTGCCTCTTGTCCTCACCCTGGGCAAGAACAGCCTCTCGAATGGAAAGCTGTGTTCCTGACTGGAGGACCACGTTTCTCTGCCCAGCTTTTCACCATCTATTGATGGAGCACTTTTTTGAGGGCGATGTTTGTTTTTTTCCCCTCCTATTGTTTATTTCTTAACTTCCTTTGTTATTTGAAAGCACCCCAGTGCAGCCACATTAACAGGCGGGTGAAATGAACCAACAGGCCATTGCCAATGGAACGACTTAATAGAGACATACAAGATGATCAGAGGATTAGATAGGGTGGACAGTGAGAGCCTTTTTCCTCGGATGGTGATGGCTAGCACGAGGGGACATAGCTTTAAATTGAGGGGTGATAGATATAGGACAGATGTCAGAGGTAGGTTCTTTGCTCAGAGAGTAGTAAGGGCGTGGAATGCCCTGCCTGCAACAATGGTAGACTCGCCAACGTTAAGGGCATTTAAATGGTCATTGGATAAACATATGGATGATAATGGAATAGTTTAGGTTAGATGGGCTTCAGATTGGTTTCACAGGTCGGCGCAACATCGAGGGCCGAAGGGCCCGTACTGCGCTGTAATGTTCTATGTTCTATGAAGGCGGACACACGGCCAGGGGCTGCATAAAGCTAACTCGTTCTGTGCTCTCTCTATCTTTCAGAATGACGGAAGTGATGAGCAGCTGTGAGCCTGTAATGGAGGATTTTACTTTAACCCAGACACCAGAAGAGGGAAGACTCCCCTTTCAGGTAATCAGTGTGTGTCTAAGAGGGGGAAACAGCCTGAGGACAGGGTAATCAGTAAATATAACATCGTTTTAACTTTACATTTCTTCTCCCGATTTCCCACTCTCACATTGTACCCAGCGGCTTGCATAGCAGCGAACAAAGTGACGGCTTGTTGCTAGCACATGCGACTAATCGCCTGTGTTCCTTGTTGAGTTTATTTTTGCTCCTGTCACCAAATAGTGCGAAGACTTATTTTAGCAGCGTACATTTTATCACCCAATTGTAGGTGTATGGAACACAGAATGCCAACTTTCGCATCTGTAAACGGGAACCTAATTTTTCACATCTTCCTTACGCTAAAGGGGAATGCTGACAGACTTTATTAACGATGGCCGTTTTCTGTGCTGCCCAGAATCAGGCACCAAAGCTCAGCTCCACAACTTCACCAACGAGGCAAGATAGAATGGCTTCAGTCATTAAATGAATCAGAAAGCTGGAGGCGTTAAGAGGAGAGCCACGCGTTCGATTGTGTCAAAGACAGCAGAGGGGTCAAGGAGAGATGATGCACTATGGTTACAGTCACGGAGAATGCGATTTATGCCTTTCGGGCTGGCAGGCCTATGTTGGAGCGGTAGGGAGGAATGAAAACCCTGTTGGAGTGGTTCAAACAGGGAGCATCAGAAAGGTTTGCTGCAGTCCAGGAGCTGACAACACAATCTAGGATCCCAGACACAAGGAAAAGTTGAAGGTTTATTTAGTGACAAGCAAAGGGATGAAGTTTTTTTTGTTATACGGAGGTGGTGACATTTTTTTTTTAAAAATAGACGAACAGTGCTCAAAAAGGAAACTATTTACATTATCAGTTAAAGTGTGGGCAATGAGGAATAATTGCTGTGAGCAGGAGTTGAGTGTAAAAGGGAGTATAGCAACAGGAGTTGGATGAAATGAAATTGGAGAAGACACCAGAGAGGACTTGTATAGAAATTAGACAGACACAAGGAATTAAAACTAGGCTGGTGATGAGACAGAGGAGATTAAGTTTAGTAAGCAGGGGGCTAGGGGAAGAAGAGGATGATCTCTCCCAGAAATGTGGAAATCCATTAAAGTCATACATTTGTTGGAGCTGGGATGAATTTAAGACAGTGACTGGTATTAGAGAAAGGGAGATTTAGATAGTCTTTCCTTACTTGAATGATCATTGACTAGTGGTTCATTTAGTAAGGTCAAGTGTAATCAAGAAAGATCTGACAATGATGATTGTGTGAGATAAACTGGATTTACCAAATGATAGTGAATGCTTTCTTTGGAACAAGGACATTAACTATGAACTTAAGGGAACAGTTGAGAATATCAATTATTTGGCAAATGGGCTGTCAAGGTCAAGAAGCTCTCAGTGTGCAAGAACAGCTTTTGATAAGATTGCAGAGAACAGGCTGAATACAGAAAGGAGAGTGCAATTTAGGGAATGTCAGTCATTTGTCTTTAATCTAAGTCATTGAGAAGTATACTTTATCTTTGTTCAATGTAGAGTTCACATTTGGGCCCCTTAAAATTCATATAACTTACTTAAGTCTAGTGAGTTTGGGCATAGGTTGAAAAGACACCAGGCTTACCAATCCCAAGATTGCGTGGCTACTGTTGGAGTTTAACTAATTAAAGCTACACAGCTTACAAGCACAGAGCACTGGTCAAGTTAGGAAACACAAATGAGTCCAAAACTGCTGAATGCTCTTTTCCATTCCATGCCAAAACATTTTAAGAGGCATGGTTGTGTCCAGGTCATCTATCTTGCATCTACAAACATAGTCTATGTTTAGGTTTTTTAATTAATCGCTAGTAATCTAGCTATTTTTCCCTTCAATTAGGACAGAATTGAAATAGAAAAAAAAATCTGCAGCTGTTGTACAAATAGACTAAAATAGCAATATAGAGCTTGTATAACAGTCAAGGGAGCTTTCTCCATTCTCTTCAATTCCTTTACTTCTGAGTGAAGAGAAATTGGAATGATGTATTGCATACCTCTGAGTGGTCAAAGGTTAGAGCCGATCATCCACTCATTGTTTCAACTGTAAGAAGGGGGATGGCCTGACAAGACCCTGTATGTGGACAAAACAGGAGGACAGGCACAAATTATGTCTCCTTATTTTAAAAAAAATCAATCAGTTTGAATGTACTAATGACTTTGTTTTGAGGAAATATTGAACAGTACAGAGAAATGTATTGATGGTAAATAATAGTTTACGTTTACAACAGATATTTCCTGATCCCCATGAAAAATCTGAAAGATTTCCTAAGGTGACAAAAAGGCTGCCATCAATTGTGGTTGAACCAACTGAGACTGGCGAGGTGGAGAGTGGAGAGCTCCGATGGCCTCCTGATGAAATGAATGTGTTAGAGGATGTGGAGCATCACCAAAGTGAATTAAAATCCAAACCAAAAATACCAGAGGATGAGGAAGAAGGTAAAATGGGCATTTCTTAGTTGCTGACTGTTGCTTATTTTTAAGAGTAATTAATACTGAAAAATGCCACACATGAGAATTGTTTTGTTTACCTGAATGAAGAAGAATTGATGCCACCAGCCATTCTTCTATGCCTCTGTGTAAACTTTGTTCTTAAACTAGATCTCAAAGTATAACTTCCTTTTCAAATTGAAATTACATGACTTTGTCAGTCACTGCTTCAAGTAAAGGTATCCTATATATCTAAAATATAAAGATGCACTTAACCATTTCAGTTGTCACGGTCAGAGTAGTGAGGGTTTTAAACTAAACAAGGGCTGAGAAGTTGGCGGTGTGAAGAATAAGGTTTGGCTAAACAAAAACATAAGGTTTTAAAGTTGAGGTAGCAAAACATTAATGTGGAAAATGAAAATCAGAGAATGGCAGGAAGGGGCGGAGAGAAAAAAAATGTAAAAATATGCCAGCAGTCTAGATTAGAAGCAACAAAGATAGCATAAAAACTGAAAGGCTCTATATTTAAATTCCCATGGGGATCATAACAAAGTAAATGGATTGATAGCACACAATGAATTGAATAAACATGTTCTTTTAGCCTTTTCAAGGACATGGCTGCAGCATGAGAAGGATTGGGTTTTGAATATTGAGGGATACATGACATTCATGAAGAATAGAAAGCTAGGTAAAGGCAGAGGGTAAGCTCTCAAAATCAGATATGGTATTGGTGCACACTGTTTGAGATAACCTTTGTTCAGGAGATGAGAATTTAGAATCAGTTTGGATGGAAATGAAGAATATTAAGGGAAAGAAGTCATTTGTATGAATGATCTACAGGCAAAGCTAAACAGTAATCATGATGTTGAAAGAAGTACTGAAGAAGAAATATCGAATGCTGTAATAAAGGGATAAAAATAATTATGGGTGATTTCAATCTAAAATAAAAATCCATTTGGTAATAGTAGCCTTATTGAAAAATTCAAAGAATTCTCTGGGATGGTTTCATAGAACAGCACATTTTGGAACTGACCAGACAGCAGGCTATGTAGACTTGTTATTGTGTAGTGTGACGGGCTTAATTAATGGTCTCAGAGTAAAGGCACCTCTCAGTAGCGGGGATCATAGTATGATTGAATGTTACGTCCAGTTTGAAAAAGAGAAACATGGTCTTAAGACTAGTATCTTAAACTTCAATAAGAGCAACTAAGTGAGCAAGAAAGCTGAGCTAACTGAAGTGAGCTGGAATATTAAGATAGGAGATACATCGGTAGAGAAGCAGGGGCAGACATTTAAAGGGATATTTAAAAGTACTCAAAATAAATGCATTCCTACTATAAAGAAAAATTTCAAGTGGAGGAACCATCATCCATGGTTAACTTAAGAAATAAAGGGAGCTTCATACCTAAAGAAAAGAATGTAATTACACAAAGCGGAGTTACAGATCAGATGCTTAGTCAGAATATAAATTATAGCGGATAATCAGCACAAATAACAGCACGAGAGAAAGCTAGCCAGAAGTAAAAAAATACATAGCAGAATTTCTACAGTTATCTAAAAAGGAAAACAGTAAATAAAGTAAATATTGTTCCTCTAGAGGGTGAGAATGGGGATTTATAGGGTTACAAAAATCATCCTATCAGCACCTGTAAATCAGAAGGTTGAAGGAGCAGAGGAACTTGGTGAAATTACAATCACTAGAGATGAGGTAGTGAACAGACTGATGGAGCTGTAGATTGATAAATCTCCAGGTCATGATGAACGTTATCAAAGGATCTTAAAAGAGCTGGCTAATGAGGTTATAGAAACTTTGGTGTTAATTTTCTAAAATTCTTTAGATTCTGGAAAAGTTCCATCAGACTGAAAAGTATCAAATATAATTCTCTATTCAAGAAGGCTGAAAACAATAATCTAGAGTCCTGTTGGCTTGGCATCTGACATGGGTAGGTGTTAGATCAATTATTAAGAAGGCTATAACTGAGCAATTGGAGAAACTTACAGTAGTCTGGAAGGGTCAGCATGGTGTTGTGAAAGGGAATTGTTTAATCAATTGTTTAACCAAGCGGAGGCTTGGGGACTGCTTTGCAGAACACCTACGCTCCGTTCGCAATAAACAACTGCACCTCCCAGTCACGAACCATTTCAACTCCCTCTCCCATTCCTCAGATGACATGTCCATCCTGGGCCTCCTGCAGTGCCACAACGATGCTACCTGAAGGTTGCAGGAACAGCACCTCATATTCACAAGCTTCAAATTTCCCCACCCCCTACCGCATCCCAAAACCAGCCCAGCTCGTCCCTGCCTCCCTAACCTGTTCTTCCTTCCACCTATCCCCTCCTCCCACCTCAAGCCGCACCCCCATTTCCTACCTACTAACCTCATCCCGCCCCCTTGACCTGTCCGTCCTCCCTGGACTGACCTATCTCCTCCCTACCTCCCCACCGACACTCACCTTTACTGGCTCCATCCTCGCCTCTCTGACCTGTCTGTTTCCTCTCCACCTATCTTCTCCTCTATCCATCTTCTATCCGCCTCCCCCTCTCTCCCTATTTATTTCAGAACCCCCTTCCCCTCCCCCATTTCTGAAGAAGGGTCTAGGCCCGAAATGTCAGCCTTCCTGCTCGTATGGTGCTGCTTGGCCTGCTGTGTTCATCCAGCTCTACACCTTGTTATCTCAGATTCTCCAGCATCTGCAGTTCCTACTATCTCTGATACATGTTTAACCAATTAGTTTGAATTCTTTGAAGAAGTAAGATGTGCTGTGGATGAAGGGGAGCTTGTAGACATGCTGTATTTGGACTTCCAGGTGGCATTTGACAAGGTTCCACATAAAAGGTCTCATGGTATAGGGGTAACATAATAACATGTTTAAAAGGTATGCTGGTAGAACAAGCGAATGTGCATAAATGGATCTTATTCAGATTGGCAGGATATGTCATGTCGGGTCCCAGAGGCATTTGTGCTGGGCCCTCAACTTTTTCCAATTTTGATCAATGACTTGAATGAAATGATCGAAGGCATAGTGGCAAAATTTGCAGTTGACACAAGGACAGGCAGGAAGTTATGTTGTGAAGAGGACATTTCAAGGATGCAGACTGATATAGATAAGTTAAATGAGTAAGCAAAATACTGGCAGATGGAGTGTAATGTATGAAAATGTGAAGTTGTTCACTTTGTCAGGAAGAATAAAAGCAGTATTATTTAAACAGTGAATGATTGCAGAATTCACAAATGCAGAGGAATCTAGGTGGTCTAGTCCATGAGTAAAAAAAAGTTAATGTGTAAACACTGCAAGTGATTAAGAATGCTAATGGAATGTTACCTGTTATTATGAGAGTACTGAGTATATAAGTAAGATTGTTATGCTTCAGTTAAACAGGGTGTTGATAAGACCCACATTTTAGATACTGATCACACTTTTGCTTTGCAGGAGGTGGTTCAGAGGATGTTTACTAGATTGAGCAGGTTGTCTTTTGATGAAATATTAGACATTTCAGACTTGTTTTCACTAGACTCTAGAAGAGTGGGGGCTGATTTAATTTAAGTTTATAAAATGATGAGGTGAACACGGAAAGGGCGTTTATACTTATGAGTGAGCCCAGAACTAGGGGGCACTCTTTCATATTTAGAGGCTGTCTTTTTAAGCAGGTATGTGGGTTAGTCATTCTTTTTCTCAGGGGATTGTGCAGCTTTGGAACTCTGCCTCAGAAGTTGGTGGAGACTGGGACAATAAATATTTTTAAGGCAGAAGTAGATGGATTTATGTTAGAGAAAGGAATCAAATGTTATTGGGGATAGATGGGAATGTAGAATTTGGAATACAGAGAGATCAGCCATGATTTTATTAAATGCCAGAGCAGGCAAGAATGGCCTACTCCTGCTCCTAAACCATACGTTCATATGTACGTTTATATGTTTGTATTCATACCTCATTATTGTGTTACACTTGCAGGTAATGCTTTACTACAGCAGAATCCTAAATAAATACAAAATGTGTTCAGCAATTTAAAACAATATCTGACGTTGATAATCTCCTGAAATATTAGGTTATAACCATTTGCACCACAATCTAACCATTCATTCCAACTCTAAATTTGCACAAGAACAGTAAACCTTTAAAGAAAATGTTCTTTTTGCTATTTTAGAACTTCTGATTTATTGCACTTTTTCTGGGTGAAATGCAGCAGTTTGTTGACTGTGTAATGTGTTGAATACTACATAATAGAAAAGTGAGGAATGGCTGATCATTCATTTTGAATGGTCTGTTTAAATTCTATGTTTGGGCCATGAACCTGCAGAACAAAAATCAATGAAATATAATATGTTGAAATCTTATGTGCTTATTTGTAATTAACTGACATATAAGCCAGAATTTAATGTCTGCCCCTGTGGTCCATTTGGTTTTTGGGTGACACTTAATCAGTGAGAGGGTAGTGAGTGGGGATCCCACAGCCTTCCTACCACTGCCCTGATTAAGTGTGAGCTAGGATAAATTATGGATAGCCTTTTCACCCATCACCAATTGAGGTTTAATGCCCATGGGTCTCAACCAGCTGTAGGGGTGGGCAGGGGAGCTCACTGTGCAGGGAGCATGTCAAGCAAACCAGTGAGGAATTGCTTGTAATCTTTCAGGGAGGGGAGGTGGGAGAGGGGCAAAGACACCCAGTTCTTAATCAAGGGATCAGAAAATGGAGCACACCAAGAGCCATCTCTTGCCCTGTTGCCGACTCCCCTTCTGCCCCCAGCTCCTCTGCGATTTCCCTGTTAACACTCATATCGGAATCTGGGGTATGACGATGCGAATCTGGTGGCCTACTGTTCAATAGAGATGTCAGCCTCAAATTGGCTGATGGCTGCCTGAGTGACACTTACTTTGGTGGACCTTCACTCAAAGAGGCGATGGGGTTCTCACACACACTAGCCAGCATCCCAGTGCATCCATTAAACACCAACCACAATTTTGATCAGAATAAGAAAGTTACAAATAAAGGTTATTTAGGAGCAATCTGCTGCAGTTGAGAGCATCATAAAGATTGATAATCATATGCAATTTTACTTCATCTACTTCAAATTCCACATGCAAGTTTTCCCCTATCATCTCCCAATTTTCTCTTGAGCTATGCCAAGGAACAGCACTGTAGGCACATCCTCTAAGGCATTGTTCTTCATTCTGTATTTTGTGTTAGATAGAGAATGAATGTTGACAGACTAGATTCTATTTTCACCTGACATGTATACACACGCACTTTTCACAAACTATTATTGGATTTGATGAGGATTTGTAAACCAGCTGATTCTTTTTCTCTTCCTGCAGCATAGAAACTCAAGCCAATTGTCATTGCTGTATTTTACACTTTTTAATAATGTTACAGCGCATTGTATATTATAATTGTTGATAATATTTTCACTGAGAATAACATTGAGGTAGACTACTGGTATAAAAAGCATGTGTTGCATTACATTTTTTACCACATAATGTGTTCCAATTTGCAGTTGGAGTGAATGTAACTACATTTGCTTTTAGTTAGTCTTGCCTTTGTATGTCTAGATTTTTAGTTTTTTTATGCTGCAAGTTGAAATGGCAAGCGATAACAACTGAGGGAAACCAAGCCTCTGGGATCTGAATAAAGGCCAAGCAACTGTCTATCTCCTTAACCAACTTGATTGAAGGATTGTGAAATTAGCAGCACAAGGACTGGGAAGGACATGCAAATTAGAATGGGTGAATGCAATGTAAAATCAGCTAGAAAAAGTGAGAGAAAAAGAATAGAAAGGAAAAGTAAAAAAAAATTTTAAACTATCAGATTGAATAGCAGAGCAGACCCGATGGACTGAATGGCCTACTTCTGCTCCTAAGTCCTATAGCCTTATGGTCAATTACTTGAAGTGATAAGACTCCACTCTGTTAATTGTTAAGTTTCAATATTGAAGGAGTTGAATTCAGTAATTGACTCTTATCATTATTAAAACATCTATGTGACGTAGGTTCACCCAAAGTGCTGTTATTTCAGTTTTTTTAGTGTCAGCATCAGTGAATGAATTGTTGCGTTGTGGCTTTGATTCCAGACCAGATAGGCTTGCAACTTTTAGATTGTTACCTGACATCATGACATGTAATGTTCTGGTATGAAGACTTCTGCCTTGACTTCAATGACACTCTCCTTATAATGGAGTCAGAGTAGTGTTTTACGAATGTACAGAAAACCACAAACCACACTAGGAATAGTGATGCAGTTCCTTGTCAGGGTGGTGTGTGGCATCAACGCGCACTCGCAGCCGTTAGGTCTCTCATTCATCTATTACCCTATTCTTCTCAGTGATGGAGTCGCAGTTCTGCATTATACTGTTGAAGGAGACTTGCTGTACGCATTGTAGGTAGTACCTACTGCTACTGCTGTATTGACAATAGAAAGAGTAAATGCTTCATAAGTATTGTTGCAGCTTGACTTATCCAGGCAAGTGGAGCGCATTCCATCATACTTCTGCTTTGTAACTTGTAGATGGTGGACAGGCTTTGAGGAATGAAAAGATGAGTAACTTACTACAGAATTCCCAGTCTGTGACTTCATCTTGTAGCCACAATACTTATTTACATTTATTATGCCTTCAGAGGATGGGAACATCACTGGCTGGGCCAGCATTTATTTCCCATCCTAGTTGTCCTTGAGAAGACGGTAATGAGCTGCCTTCTTGAACTGCTAAACTTTCCATTTGGTGTAGGACCAAATGTTGTTATGGAGACAGTTCAGAACTTTGATCTGGTGACATTAAAGGAATGACATCATAATTCCAAGTCAAGATGATGCATTACTGAACAGCTCCTGCTTCAGATCAGTGCTTTAGCTTGCTTCAGCTGTATGGCATGCAAATAGTCCTGTGTTGTAACTTCACCAGATCATGCTTAGGTATAATAAAACAATGAACTATGGGTACTGGAGATCTGAAACAAAAACCGAAATTGCTGGAGAAACTCAGTGGGTCTGGCAGTATTCATGGGAAGAAAACAGTGTTAACGTTTAGAGTCTGGTGATCCTTCATCTGATGATGAGTTACCAGATTCAAAATGTTAACTCTGCTTTCTCTCCACAGATGTTGCCAGACCTGCTGAGTTTCTCTAGCAATTTCTGCTTTTGTTTCATGTTTAGATATGCCTTGTGCTGTTCCTCGCATGCCCTCCTACATTCTTCATTAAACCATTTGGTTGGTTATTGGTAACATCTGCAGGATGTTGATGGTGGAGTATTCAGCAACTGTAGTGCAGCAAGGGGTGATACTCAGATTCTTAGATAACAAGGTGTAGAGCTGGATGAACACAGCAGGCCAAGCAGCATCAGAGGAGCAGGAAGGCTGACGTTTCGGGCCTAGACCCTTCTTCAGAAATGGGGGAGGGGAAAGGGGTTCTGAAATAAATAGGGAGAGAGGGGGAGGCGGATAGAAGATGGATAGCGGAGAAGATAGGTGGAGAGGGGACAGACAGGTCAAAGAGGCGGGGATGGAGCCAGTAAAGGTGAGTGTAGGTGGGGAGTTAGGGAGGGGATAGGTCAGTCCAGGGAGGACGGACAGGTCAAGGGGGCGGGATGAGGTTAGTAGGTAGGAGATGGGGGTGGGGCTTGAGGTGGGAGGAGGGGATAGGTGGGAGGAAGGACAGGTTAGGGAGGCAGACTCATCAATCCACCAGTTTATGAATGTTGCCCAGGTCTTACTACAGGTGGGCATGAATCTGTTCTATATCTGAGGAGTGTCAGTTGGTGCTGAACATTGTGCAATCATCTGTGACGATTACCCCCTTTGACACCAACCATGATGGAATTGTGTCCCAATAAGTTTCTCATCTCAGACAAGAGAAAGAGCAGTACAACTGAGGAATTTCTCTATGTTATGGCTAATTTGAAGCGTACTAATTGCTGACTTCTTCCTATCTCTTAGTACCTAACTCAAAAAATGCTTTGCTGGAGTCTGAGGACAGGTTGCTTCCTGCTTGAGTTCAATAGAAACACAACAGAAAATAAACAAATACAATTTATGAGAATGAAAGTAGATGTAATGTTTATACATACATAAGCTAATAAAGATATCTTCGTTGGAATAGGGATTTGTTGTTTTGGTGGAATAAACATATGTTTATGACTGTTCTTTTTGTGACATGTTTATGGGATGAATCTTCCTCATATTAGTACTGATTATGAGGGAAACAGACGGAGTAGTGAAAAAAAGACAGTACCACTTAATAAATTAAACCAGTTCAATCAGCCCTAGTGACCCAAACAAGATAGACATTAATCCCATGTTTGTAATATTTCTGTTAAAATGTTAGAATGCAAATTTTCCATAACAAAATTTAAAACATGTAAGGTTTGTTTCTGTGTATGAAAGAAACAATGTATTTTTCACTAAATGATGTATCATGCAGCAAATTACAGCTTTATTCCAGTCATAAGAAAAAACTTGAAAACTGTGGATCATTCATTCAAAAATTGTCTGCCTGATTATTATAAGTGTCTGATTGTTGAGTTATAAAGCGAATAATGTTAATTCTCTTCATTCTAGATATATTATCACCACCCAGTCAAATACCCGAAATCGAAATAGACTATTCTGATCAAAGAACATCAGAAAACTCAAATGACAACAGCTAAAAGCTGACATGACCCGACTGGAACCCCACTGTGAATGTTTGGTCACAGACTGGAACCTGGTAGAGAACCTCGAAAGGGATTTTGAGTCAAAAGACTTGTTTGTCAAACGGCTTCATCTGAATGTTTTGCAGTTACTTGAATTTCTGACATTATTTATATATATGGTGGTTGATGTTACATAGAGATAGTATTTATTCTTTACCTATTGTCTATGTCTGAAAACCCCTAACATTAAGTATACATTTAAGCATTATGTTCATATTTGATCAGCAACATCTTTATTTGCCTATATAGCTACATATATAGTAGCTATTTTTTCTCTTCCTGTTCTTCTATGTCAATCACCAAACTTGATCCAGATATTAGATTGGAGTAAAATATTCATTATTTGTAAGTATTCATTAGTGTTTCACTCATTATTAGTGTAAATGTGAAATAAGTGTAAGAAAAGGCAGACCAAACATATTCTGTCATAAGAAAACAAACTAGTATTGTTCACTTAGGTGTAAACACCATGGATGGATTTTGAGTTTTGGAATGCCAGAGGCGATCTGGTGGCCAGGTTCTGGAAAGTTACAATGGTTAAACACTGTGATTTATGAGCCTAAGATAATGTGGTCAGAAATTAATTAGCAATTTGAGAAAAAAAAACTAAGTCTGAGGTCTTGTTATTCTAAACCTTTTTCCATTTGCAAGTTGACACAGTACAGCCTGTTCCCAGGCAACAGGAGAATTGAATAGCATTGAAATGAATGGAGATAGCAGAGGAAAAGTAATACAAGGGCATATTGAAGAGCACTATGTCTAAACTGTAACGGAAGCCCATCACATATTACTTGTGATGTTTTATATGGAAAGTGTCTTTCATGTTTATGGTACAGTTCATTTTGAAATCGAATCATTCAGTTTTCTTCAGCATTATTGCAATTAAAATTGTAAGTTTATTATTTATTTGTAGAACACAGATGAAAAGGTGGACAGATTTTCATCCTTCTACATTTAGATAATATTCAGTTATAAAAGGTGTTATCACCTCGATATATCTTAGATAAATGAGATGGTATCAGATATAGGAGAATACTTTGAAAAAATTCTGAGGAAATTCAGAACTGTGAGGACGTAGTCTCTTGGAAATTGTGTAATCATTAAACAGTGCTAAAGGTGCCTAATGTGAGCAACACTGAATTGAACTGATAGCAATGACAATGTCAAGGGAGCACTGCTATGGTGCTATGTTACCAATTGCATCATATCAGTTTAAAAATTCAAAACATAATGCCAAGGAAGCTACCCACCCTGTTCATGTACTCCTGGAATTCTCACAGATAATGTTTTCATTTGGAACTCAATCTCCTGTATTCAGAAAAGCAACATCACATTTCCATGTCAGAATTGCCACCTAAAATATAAAGAACATGGAAATTCCAAAGCAATTCTCTGGTTCTTCAAAAAATACTTATTGAGTTTTTTGGTTAGAAAGAAGGAAAAATGCTATCCTCTGATTATACAACTCCTTCTGGTACTTAGACTTGATTTGATTATGTTGGCAAGGCTAATAGAATTTGATTTAACCAAGACCATTGATGTTTAATGCAGCAATATAACAACCAAGAATGTAATTGTGTCAGTAGCAGTCAAATCACAACTTATTTGAGTGATCATGCATCTATATTGTTTACTGAGAATTAAATTAGAAAGGTTTGAAATTCTCACTGTTCAATGCTCATTAGTCAATACACACAGATGGCAACGAAATGAGTTCTGTACCACAGGAAGATTATTTTGTGTTACATAACATTCACCTCCAATGGACTCATCCACTTGTCATGTTTTGATTCTGTACAATTCTGAAATTTGGAATAAGAAGACCAGTATTATCTGTTACTGTGTAAGTTTGGGTTGAAGATTTCCTTGAAATGTTTGAGGTCCAAAATTCTTGTGCCTTCTGAACAGGAAAATGACACAATTTGAGAGGGATGGGGGCAAAGCAGCTTCAGGTGAACATTTGTTCTGTCTGCTCTTGATGCCTTGCAGTTTGGGATTAGAAATTCTTTGGGAAGTAGGGTATGGGAATCTTGCACCCATCCTTCTCCTCTTGCCTTCCTGGACTAAATGCTGACAGAAATGGAGTCCAGCTGCTTTTAACATGTCAGTTTCCCAATGGGAGAGCAATACATTTAAATTTTGGACCTTTTAGCCTTCTTTCTTTTAAATTCCATCTGTTTCTACCGTGCTGTAGCTAGGTGCTACAGTGAAATTCCTCCCCCTTTCTCTACTGGGATGTGTTCCAATTTGCCAAAATGGTGCAGGAATCCATAAAAAGTATGTACATTGACTGACTCTGTGATTTCTGATGGAGCTTCAATATCTGACCAGAGGATGGGCAGAAGTGCTGAACTCTGCTGCACATTTGACAATGCAGAATTACATCAGAATGTTTGTGTCCACTGCCGATTTATATGATGGTTATATTTGTACCAGGCTTCTGATTCCATCCTCACATCATGCTGGCGATGTCCTTTTAATGATTTGTGGTAGAATTTAACATATTCTTAGGTGCACTCTCAGTTTACATTGTCACGCTGCTGCTTTCAATTCTTTAATTCTTTACATCAACATCATCGATTTGAATGCTTTCAATTTATTATACCTGCTAATAAAATCTAACCATGATCCTTTCACAATTGTTGGATTCATTTTCCACTTGTGTAACAATATGAACGTAACTTGTGGCATCTGTAGTGTGCTTCCTTTTGCTAAATGTCAGCAGTCATAATAGCAGGCTGACATTCCTTGCAACCTGCTTTTCAATGTTTGGTCCAAGTGGTGGATGCATGAATGAATGTGTCTAGCTAAAAGAGCAGATTGTCTGTAAAGTGCAAAAGTTATTTCATTCTTGCTGACCAACTGAGAAACCTTGCCTTTGTTGGGCAGGGCTTTAGCTGGCAGTAACCACCAAGTTCACAAATGCACAAAGAAAAAGAAGGTGTAAATATCAAACATGTAAATTGTAACTCTTGGTGGCTAAAACATCTGTGAAATGCCTGCTGTCCTACTAAACCGTGGGCATTATTTTTCCTGGTAGTTGATAACCATTTGCATACTTTAAGATACACCATGGTAGCGTGATAATGGGAGAAGGGCAGGGATTCTGAATGATTGGATAGTCTCCCCCCACGCATTGTTTCAAATTATATTAGTATCCAAAAATGGGGCACTGTTTCAATCATTAGTTGTTTCTAAAGCACTCACTCATTTTAGTGAGAGAGCTATACATGCCAGTTTTAGCAATAGAACCTCATACAGCAACAGAACACATAACTCAGTCCTCAATTATGTGACTATTTTAATTCTGTACCAGCCTTTATAATAGATGTGCACATTTGTGATGCTGTACTTGAAAAAACAAGTCTGACTTTGTTTCTAGTAGTTTGTTTAGCAAGAAGTATATGTGCCACTTTCTTGTTTCTACAATTCAACAACATTTCTGATACTCTGCTGAGCTGTAATTACCACACAATGTTTTGTGCATATGGTTTCAAAATAAAACGAATTAGAAAACTTTGTCTTGAATTTTATTTCCTTACTAATGAATTAGACACATCATTAGGCATACAAAAGTCAACTAGAAAACTCTAGTATAAACAAATATGCTTCTTGGTATCTGAAATATGCTCTTTAAAAATTTATTACACTCAGTAAAGTAATATGGTTAAAAGTTTCAAGTAACTACTTGATATATCTTCAGATGATTACAGTACTGCTTAAATATCACGTTAAAATATAGAGTACTAGTTGTATTCTAACAGCATTGTTCATGTGGGAAAACAGTCTTACAACTGTTCTTTCCTAATTTTCAATTCATTAGTTAGTATCCATTTTAACTTACTGTTTGTTTCTGATTTGTTCCCTCAGCCATCACTACTCCTTGTGAAGTTCAGAGTCTTTATTTTTGTTTACATCTCCCGATACCTAATGTTTTACTTTATTAATCAGATAAGTTTATAAATCTCTAGGACAGACACTAAGATACCAGTCAACAGGCACTAGTCAAATGAAATTCTTTGACTGGGCGGTGATAAACTGGAAAGTTGGTGGATGACAGAAGATGAGAGAAACTGAAGGCTGCATGAGGTAAGCTGAAGACCCAAGATGATACATTGGATGGAATGGCCAGAGGCAGAAGATAGAAAGTTCAGGAGAAAGTGAGCTTCTTGTTTTGGGTTCAGAAGGAAATTAAGCAATCAGAAATTGCAGCACTCAGGGGAAAGGTTGAGTTTTGGGAAAACTTGGGAGTTGGCAACTGGTTTGAGTTTTTAGAGATTTTAGGCGAAATTAGGATATTGTAGCAATTAGTTTGGGGTAAAATTGGGAATATTTTACCACTCATTTGTGGTGTCTAATGTGACTTTGTGAAGGCAATAGCTGGATCTGGCAGCACTTGTGGGAGCTGGAGGTTGAAACTGTTTGGAGTTGGTTGACGGCAAACAATCTAGCAATAACTAGGAACATGGTGCATAGGTACTCATGAGGGTAGAGAGAACATGATCTGTGAATGTGCACAAAAGTGAAAATGAGCTGTGACTTTTGACTGGGCTCAGGAGTGTGACTGAGGCTGAGCATTACAATAGCTAAACTGAAGGAGAGACATGGATAGAGGAATTACAGAAGGCAAAAACAACAGCAAGAACGACCAGGGAAGTGAAACACGGGCAAAGGGAAGGCCTAGGAGTGGAAATGTACCGAAAGTACTGAAAATAATATGATACCAATTCTGTGATTGTATATGTACACAATTCTGAGGGCAAATGAGAAGCAACAAGAAGAAGCACCGATCTTTGAAAGTATGCATGAGCATACAACATATGATCTGGGTAAAGGATTGAAGTTTTAGGAAAGTAGGTCCTTGGGAGAAGGGAGTTCATTTCAAGACAGATGATAATATTTTGATGACATTTTAATTAAGAATTGTTTAAATTGTTACAATTAAGTTATACATTTCAATTTTGGAGGGATGTAGATGGGTTGGTGGAGATCCAACCTCATCATTCAAAAATATTTGGCATCTTTCAGAGATGTGAGTGCTTTTTTTATTGCAAGACAGCGATGTGCATCTCATTCAGTTATGCTTCATAGATGTAAAAGAAAAATTGCTTTTGTAAAAGTGCTATCACTACCACTGACCATCTCAAAACTCTTTATAGCCAATTAATACCTCTTATGGAAGTGTAGTCACTACAGTAATATAGGAAACCTGGCAGCTAAGTTGTGCTCAGTCAAATTCCAAAAAGAGTCCTGTAATCATAACTACATAATCTATTTTTTGTGATGTGGATTGAAGGATAAACGTTATCCAAAACTGAAGGGATAACTCCCTGATCTTCTTCAGAACAGCACAATGGCAGGATCTAGGAAGTACGGAGGATCAGAAGGACCTTTGTGCGCATGCCCATAAATCTTTGAAGACAACAGGACAGGTAGATTTTTTGTTATATTCACCTGTGGGACAAGGGTGTTGCTGACTGGGCTAGCATTTATTGCCTATCTCCAGTTACCCTTGAGAAGGTGGGGTTGTGCTGTTAGGGAGGCAATTCCAGGATTTTGTCACAGTGACAGTGAAAGACTGGCGATACATTGCCATGTCAGGATAGTGAGTGGCTTGGTGGGAGGGGGGAGCTTGGAAATGGTGATGTTCCAATGTATCTGCTGCCCTTGATCTTCTAGATGGAAGTGGCATGTATTTGGAAGGTGCCGTCTAAGGATCTTTGATGAATTGGATAAAATGGTTACAAAACACATATGGGATACTTTCCTTTATTTGTCTAGGCATTGAATACAAGAGCAGGGTAGGTACGATGAGTTGTTTTAGTTGTTAGTTAGGGCACAGCTGGTGAACTGTGCGCCCTTCTAGTCATCACAGTACAGGAGGGAAGTGATCATATGTGATAGGGTGCAGGGAAGTTCACCAGAATGTTGCTTGGGCTGGAGCAATTCAGCTATAAAGTGAGACTAGAAGGGCTAGGGTTGTTTTCTTTAGAGCAGAGAAGGTTGAGGGGCATAGATAGAGCTTAGAGGAAGAAACATTTACCTTTAGTAAAGGGGATAATAACCAGGGAACATAGATTTAAGGCAAAGAACAGGAGATTTAGAAGGAATTTAAGGAAGAATCCACTAAGTGGGTAGTGAGTATCTGAAACTCACTGCCTGGTAATGGTGGAAGCTGTCACAACATTTAAGAAGCATTTAGATGATCACTTGAAGTGCCATGACATACAATGTGCTGGAAAATAGGACTAGAATAGATAGATGTTGATGCCCAGCATGGACACAGTGGGCCAAAGGGCCTCTTTCTATGCTGTAAATCTCTACAAGTGTCATGTGATCTTTTACATCTACCCACACAGGCAGATGGTGTCTCAATTTAATATCTCAGCTGAAGACAGCATCTTTGATATTTTAGTGTTCATTCAATAGTGCACTGGAGTATCAGCCTTGATTGTTGTGCTCAAGCCCAGGAGTGGGTTTTGAACCCAGAACCTTGTGATTCAGATGCATGTGGGCTATCAACTGAGCTCGACCTTTACATTTGGATGCTTTCTGTTGAATATGAAATTTGAACTAAACAGCTTGTTTGAATACTACAGAGTGAAACATCAGAACTTGAAAGTCCTGAAAGACAGCAGCATGTTTGTCGCCACTGTGGGTATTCTTGATAAACAACAATAATAACTTGCATTTGCTTTTTACATAATGGAACACTTATCAGGATCACTATAAAGCAAAATCTGACACCAAATCACTCAATGAGACATTAAGGCAGACGAGGTTAGATTTTAAGAGGGCTCTTTAAGAAGGAAAATGAAGTACAGTTGGAGCAATTTAGGCAGGGAATTCCAGAGACTAGGAGGTAGCAAGAACTGCAGATACTAGAGTCAGAGTGAATACCTAATGGAGCTGGAGGAACACAGCTGGTCAGGCAGCATCAGAGGAGTGGGAAAGTCGATGTTTCGGGTTTACACCCATCATCAGGATTCTGATCAGGGAATTCCAGAGCTTCAGGGACACAGCTGAAGGCATTTCCACCAATGTGGATGTGATTAAAAATGAAGATTCTCAAAAGGTCAGAATTTGAAGAGTGCAGTTAGTTTGTAGGATTGTGGAGCTGGAGAAGGTTACAAAGAGAGGAAGCAGAATGGCTATGGAAGGACTTGAAAACAAGGATGAGGATTTTCAAATCAAGGCATGGTTTACCTGGGTGCAATGTAGATCAGCAAGCACAATGGGGATGGGTGAACAAGAACTGATGTAAATTAGGATGCGAGCACCTCACATCCACCGAAATGGAATAATCAAGTCTAGAGGTAACAAAGATATGGATGATGGGTTTCAGTATTGGATTAGCTGAGGCAGGTTGGAGTCAGATGTTGTTAAGGAGTGGAAATAGGTGGTCTTAGTATTGGCAAGGATTTATGGTCAAAAGATCATCTTGGGGTAAAATATGAACTGTCTGGTTCAGCCTCTGACAGTTGCCAGGGAGAAGAATGGAAGTAGTGGCTAGGGAACAAAGTTTGTAACTGCCAAAGCAAATAGCTTCGTTCTTCCCAATACTTAATTCTTACTGTTATTTTTAGCACAGCTGCAGTATGCATTTTCATAAAGGTGAATGCACCATCATGTCCCTGAACATCTCTTAGGAGGGGGACCACAGCAGATTTCATTGAAACTGCTACACACTCCAGTGATATGTGGACTGAACAAAACACAAAAGCCTATGTTGCAGCTAATGAGAAGTGTAGATTATACAGCTGCATGATTGCTGCATATAATTGGCGTCAGGCCTATACGTGTGAATTCATCAAGCATCCTTCTTTTCAGGCAAGACATGTGAGTTTTGGCTCCTAATACCATACAACCCTGGACAGCTTTCTCCTTTGCCTGCACTGAGAAGGGTACAATTTCTCACATTCTCCGCTTATGTTACAAGTACATCTTTCACAAACAAAGGTATCCCAATTAAAATAACGGAAGCATTGGGATTGCAGCAGGAAGTGATTGACTACATTCCTGCCGGGGTGGGGAAGATTAAAATCAGGCCTTTAACAACTGTTCCTCTCTTTTTTTGATCCATGCCAGTGTATGTATGCATGTGACAAGAAGGTGTATGACTATATTGCTAATTCTCTCATTCAATAAATACGCATTTACACATAATTATCTTGTTAAGACTGATCTAGAAAAACATTCATATTTTCCATTAGTCTTCCTAAAACATATCAGAGCAGACTCAGAATCATTGCTTCCTGTCTTCATTAGCTTTGACTTTGGAGAAAGTTATTGCAGCGTAATTCTGCACAGGTTTACACTGAGATTTCTGGTTTTTCATTTATTCAGCCCTTGGTCACAACTTTAGCAAGTCCGTGAACTTGAGTTCTAAACCTTTCAGAGAAGTTTGGGTCACTGATGAAAGGCAGACTTCATGCTGATTTAAAGCAGCAAAGGCCAGTCTTGGCTTGATGTCATATGTGTATTAGACAGCAATCGAGTCACACACCATGATAGAA